CGGCGAAGCATCATCGGGACCGCGGCTTGCTTCTCGAGGTACCCGCTGGGCATGGCTCTCTCGAAATGGGGCAGCCTCAACCGATTTAGGGCGAAAATAGATTGTGTTTTGGATCCTAGCGAGGATGCCATTGGCCGACAGGATTGGAACCGTGCGATGCGATTGGCGCCTTGTATTTATATGGACCAATGAAAATGGGTATTCAACTCGGATTGACCAAGCTCAGATGTGCTGCCAGCAAGGTATAGTAGATCCCTTGGCGGGTTATTCCCTTGATTGGCGGTCGCTGCTTGGTGTCGTAGCGACTAGCAAAGGTCCTCTCGACCTTGCAAATGCCAAGACGGCAGAACCAGTGCCATACTTGCAGACTGCAAGCATGGCTGCTCCGGTAACAGCCTCGCGGATATAGCAATTTTAGCTTGTTATCATGATTGTGAAGGAACCTATACAACTTCCTACTAGCATCCCAACAAAAATGAGCCCCCGCTGGGCCTTGTTACTTCGGCAACGACACTAGGCTCGTTGACCTTCTCGGGCGATAAATCAATGCGTTAAAGTGCCAGCAGCATCCATGGCGTTGACGGTCAGGCGTGAGCACTTGAATCGCTATCGACGAGCATCGCTGAGGCGGGTCTTGTAGCTGCAGCATCTGGCAATCGACTGGAGCACCGCCCGAATTTCATCGATGGTTGCCAATCACTGGTTGACAATCCCACCCCGTTATTATTACAAATTGAGCTAACTATTCAAAACGATCCCTGATTGGCAGCAACTGTTGGGTTGTGATGACCTGCTAACGTTACCAGCGTTCAAAAGACTTCAGAGTGCGCGATGGCCACGGCGTCGCCGTCGTCCCGCCCGCTCGGCGTCTCGCTGCGCTACTTCCACCACCTCATCGAGGCCTGCGGCGGTCGCAAGGAGCTTGAGGGTCTCACGACGGCCCAAGTCTGCTTCAATCACGTCGTGCCAATGACCAAGTCCACCGAGCTCTCGCTCGTCGACCACCTCGCCAACGATGCGACCACGCGCCATTTTGTGTCCGAGGCCAATTGGTATGTCTCGCACGCCTGGAGCTATCTCTTCTTGGAGACCGTCGACAGCCTCGACACCTTCTTCGCCGGCCAAGGTCTTGCTGACGAAGCGGTCGTTTGGTTTTGCGTCTTCAACAACAACCAGCACCTCGCGCACTCGTACCCGTTCGAGTACTGGTCGTCGACGTTCAAGACGCAGCTCGCAGCCATCGGCAACGTGGTCATGATCATGCACCCGTGGAACGACCCGATCGTGCTCCGTCGGAGCTGGTGCGTCTTTGAGGTGTACGTGGCCGTCACGATGCAGGCGCGGTTCGAAATGGCCATGGCGCCAGGACAGCTACTACTGCTTCTGGATGACATGCTTCGCCCAACAGCGCTCGACGATATGCTGGGGACGATCAAGAGCGAGGCGTCCGAGACAACCGTTCCAAGTGATCGCGACGGTATCTTTGAGCTCATTCGCGCCGAGACATCGTTCACAGCCGTCGACCGACTTCTCTTTTCGACCATTTCGGACTGGATGAAGCGGACGCTGACGGCGCAGATCGCATCGGGTCTCTCGCCGCTTGATACAGCCCACCGGTATCTCTGTCTGGCCAACATTTACGCCACCGAGGCCAATTTTCCCGCCGTCTTTTCTGCTGCGGGCCAGGCCCGCCGCCTCTTCGAGTCGAGCGACGTGCGCGATGTTCACTACGCACACGTCATGGCACACGTGGGCTATGCGTCTTGCCACGTCGGCGAGGACGAGACGGTGTGGCGTGCGATCTTTGAGAATGTCTTGGCCATGGACGACCTCGAGCCCGCGACCGCCTGCGGCGCTCGCAACGCCTACGCCCGCGCACTCATCATCGCCAAGCATGCAGCAGAGGCCTATGACGTCTGCCGTGAGACGTACGCCTTGTCGCTTCTGCATCTCGGGCCCCTCCACACGTCGGCGATTGCATCCATGTCGATCCTTGGCTTGTCCAACTATTACCTCTGCGACTATGGCCAAGCGATCACATGGTTCCGCAAGTGCTTGGACGCGCAGCTCTCGCTTCTTGGGACAAACCACCCGGACACAGTCTACACGCGCGACTTGCTCGCGATTATCTGCTATAAACGCGGCCAGCTCGTCGAGGCCAAGGCTTTACTTCAAGAGACGAGCGATGTGCAGGAGCGCATTTACGGGCCGCTACACGACCAAACGACCGCCGCGCTCTTGAACCTGGGGACGGCGTGCCACTATCTCGGTGATTTTGCGTTGGCCGAGGCGATCGTTCAACCGTTGTGGGCCCGAGCGTCGGCGCTGCCCCCCAAGCGCTACATTCACTTGGTTTTCCAGCTCGGCGCGCTCTACTGGGCCAAGGGCGACTACAACGAAGCCAAGCACTTTTTAGAGATGTCGCTGGCGTGGTGTCTAGCCAATTTACCGTCGGGCGACGCCGACACGAGCCAAGGTGCGTCGGCACTGTACCGGTTCCTCCTCGACCCCACCTTTGCGGCCCAGGACCCCACAAGCGACGAGGCGTGGGCCAAGGTCGTCGCCTTCTTCGACCACAACGAGCTCGAGACTGAAGTGTGGCAGGACGAAACCTGCTTTAGCTGCAGTCAGCCGATGCAAGGAATCTGGTTCGAGTGCTCCAAGTGCCCCGCCTTTGCCTATCATTTCTGCGCCAGCTGCCTGCGTCAAGGCAAGTCTTCGACGTTCTGCGACCACGACACCAGCAGCTTCAACTGCTATGTGCCACCGCGCCGGTACCTTCTCGAGCAAGCGCTCGCCACTCGCGACAAGGCGGCTGTGGCCGAGTACGCTGCGTACTGCACCATGTACAACGTGGTGGACCCCGTCGAACCAATGGCTTCTGACGACCCCATCGCAACGCGCTTGTGGCACCCGATGCTCTAGGTATCTGCGGTCTGTTGAGTTGAGGATAAAATGTGATGATTGCTTTGCTGTCTTTTGCATGGAGAGGCTCGACATCGCGGCGAAGGCGAGCGAAGCCGATGGCAGCAACACGCTTGAATCACCACGCCCGAAGCCACAAGCTGCAGCTCCCATCGCCGCACCTCCTTGGAGAACTCCAACCTCATCAGCATCCCTCGTTGCAGCCTGCGACGCGACGACGGTATGACTCATGACTCATCGCTCTTCCTCCGTAACCTGTCGCGCCAACTCAAAAAGGGTACTTGGCGTCTCTCCCGCGTTACGCACGGCCCTGCTATGGCGTGCTGCCATCAACGTCACGATCGAAAACATTGAGTTTGAGTTTGAGAAAAGATACCTGGATGTATCTATGCCCACCGCCTTTGACCACCTCGTCATTGAGTCTGGTGCTGTCGTCACTGGCCGCTGATTGGTAGAAAAGCGGCGAGTTTGCACATTGGTCCCGACGTCGCCAGGTGTCATTTCCCAAGAAGCGGCAGAGATGGCAGAGGAGCTCAAGGTGTTCACGGTCGACGAGGTCGCGGCCCACAAGACGACCGAGGACTGCTGGATCGTCGTGGGCGAAGCCGGCGCCAAGAAGGTCTACGACGTCACCAAGTACCTCGACGACCACCCGGGCGGCCCGGAGATCATCCTCGACCTGGCGGGTCAGGACGCCAACGAAGAGTTTGAGGACATTGGCCACTCGACCGACGCGCGCAAGGCGCTCGACAAGTACCTCATTGGCTCGCTCAAGGAGGAGCCCAAGAAGGCTGCGGCCGCCAAAGCCGTCACCGCGTCCAAGGGCACCTCGGGCGGCAACACGTCGCTCTTCCTCTTCCCGATCCTCATCGCCATCCTTGCGCTGCTGTACAAGATGAACAACTAGACGATTAAGAATATGATGAAAAAGTATAGATACAGACAAATGTTTAGAACATGCTGACCAACGGGGGCACGTGGATGCAGTCTTGTCGACGACGCATCACTGCGGTGGAGGGTGTGTCTCGCTTGGACAAGCTCGCGCTGGAGCAGTTGCTTGTACGATGGTGGGTCATACCAGTTGGTGTTCGCCAAATCGATATGCCCACAACATGCAGGAACCAATGACGCTGAAGAGCTCCAAAGCGACGAGTACGTACACGTCAAGCCAGCAAGGCCACTGACATTCACCACGCCGGCGTTCCTACCGCGCATGATTTCAATACCAGTAGCGCTGCAGCCATCGTCGGCGTGTCAAGGTAGCCGGCGACACCAGCGTTCCAAGATCGTGCACGGAATTGTCCATTTTCAAGTGATATTAGTCTGTCCACCGACTTGAGCCAGTTGAATCTTGTTCATCGCAAGCGTTTTGATGCGTCATTGCATTATTTTTAGCGGATCGCATGAGCTGCTGGCGGATCGCCGACGACGTCCCCACCGCGCTTGTCGTCTCAGCCGCGATCGAGCGCTTCGCCAACGGCCCCGCCAACCCGACACAAGTCGAGCGCATCACCACGTACCTCGCCGAGTACCATCCTCTCGCACGCCAACCCCCTAACCTCCTACTAACCTCCTAGTCGCAACTGGTTTACACACGCCGCCGACCTTCGCGTCGCGATTGCCAACGAAGCGCAATGGAAGCTGTGCGTTTTGCTAGTGGCGTCGTCGCCACACTCTCAACTCGGCTATTAGGATGGAGCTACCGATTCGACTCAAGCTCGCGCTCGAAGAAGTACTGTGCGAGTGGGACACCGTTCCACCCGAGACTTCGTCGTCGATTGGAGTCCCCGTGGCCCAAACGGTCGCGAATAATGGGAGCTACAGCGCCAGCTACGACTGGGTGTGTGTCGCGTGTGGCACTGAGAACCGGTTCGAAGACTCGTTCTGCGTCACGTGCTGCGAACACTACTCCGTGTCAGTTCCCGACGCTGGCGCGCCGTCTGCCCCCGAGTTCGACCCCTCGATGGTAATCACCTCGTACGGTCTGACGTCGTGCGACCTAGTCTTAGGCGATGCCATTGCACGCGGACTGCAACGCGGTGGATCTCTCTCTGCCCGACTCGGTACCAAAGTGGTCTCGGCAATGGACTCGCATGGATTGAGGCTGTTGTGTAGGCCACGCAGCCGCCCCCTGCGCCAGCCGAGGTAGCGTCAAGAAGACAGTTGTCGACTCATGATCGCAGTACTGTTGATGACACAGGAGATGCTGATCATCCCGGTGCCAGTGCTCGACGCGGCATCGGAGCGATTCAAGGCGCTAGCGTTCGCAGCTGCCACCAGCCCACCTTCCCCAGCCTACATATAATGAGACGAAACAAGATCTGACATACAATTGCGGCGCGAGGACCCACGTACGGCGCTGCGACCAACGCCTTCATCCGATCCAGCCATGGACAGATGTCCCGTGTTGTCGTCAATGTTGTAGCCAAACGTCATTGATGTAGCTCCAAGACACACAAGAGCGGCGCAAAACTGCCTGAATTCGTATTAAGATAAGACACTAGCAGTGCAGCGTCCAGGACGGCAGTTCTAGCTGGATGCGTTCAAACATCCTGCACGTCGCTATAATTGCCCGGGAGGTTGAGGCGCTGGAGCGATCGCGTCGATCCCTGGTTCGCCAACGACGTTGCGGGAGAGATCGAGCACAACGAGGCTCGAGGACGGTAGCACCTTGGCGAGAGCAATCGCGTGGTGCGTAGCAAGATCGTGTTGCACTGGAGGTCGAGGACGCGAAGCGAGGCTGGCAAGGCAGTCAGAAGGCCTTCAGAATTTGCTTCGTCCGCGTCTGCTCGATCAAAGCGCTGGTTCGAGAGACGGAGTGAGCGCAAATGTGTGGACGCTGCAAGTGCGGATGCCAGTGCCGCGAGAAGTACGTTCGCGATGGAGTCAGCTGGGAAAAGGACAAGATGCTGTTGTTGCATGGAGCTTGTCGACAGGCTGTTTTCCTGGCCACCAACACTGCGCTGTCAAGATTCAGACGCACTCGACCAGCTGATGCCTCGCGCTATTGACACAATGTTATCGGTTTGGTTCAACATTGTCTGCTGCCTCCGAGGAATATAAATGGCTTGCACGGGCGAGTACACCGATGGACACTAGTAGATCAACGCCATCGCTGGGACACCCGTCAAATTCAGGCCCGGCAACAGCATCAAGCCGCCCGCTCTACCCTTGCACGGCCTCGAGGTCGCGGTGGCCCGAGCAGCACAGACAATGCAGCCCCCAGGCGCGCGGTGCGGCCCACACAACTGTATACATACTACCATTCATTCATCTACCTTACCAAATACTAATAAAAGCTACGGCGCCGTAGCGTCGTCTTCGTCGAGGACGCCAATGAGGTACTTGGCGAGCGTCTTGCGTGCGTCCGTCGAGTGCCCAAAGAGCTCAAACAACGACGTTGCGTCCTTCCCAGCGTGGTTCAAAATGAAGTCGGCGCCGCCCGGGTGGTCGTCCGAAAACTTGGTGACGTCGTAGACCTTCTTGGCACCCGTCTCGCCAACGACGATCCAGCAGTCGTCGACAGTCGTGTGGCCCGCGACTTCAGCCATCTTGTACACTGTGAGCGACGCCATATATCTCCCTCTTCCTCGTCGTCCGTGGCCAAAGCAAGAATGACCAGGCGGTAGTGCGACGGGCCTTGGCGCGCTTTCTATGATGCGATATCCGCCAATCAGCGGGCGCGGCGAGACCGTCTCAAACTCAATCCCACACCAATTGAGTTTTTGTAGTCGAAACCGATAGATGCGGAAACTCAATTGAGTGGCAGTGGACGTTGACGGCACGGATACAAAGACGATGCACGGCGTCACCCGTGTTGGCTACCAGGTACCGCTACTTGAGGAGGCAGCCCTCGGACACCCACTGCGTCATCTTCACCGCGGTTGCTTCCCTTCGTAAGCAGGCGACCGTCTCGGTCCCATAGATTTACCACCATCATTTTTGGCGCCAATGATGGTTGCTGTGCTGCATGGACAGAGCACCACGTCATTCTGTCATTCAACAGCATCATTTAGATGAGAAAGGATATGCGTGGAGCTGCAGTCGCTGCAAGCCCCTCGGGCTCATCTCGGTGTGGTGGCACCAATGCATCCGTCTCCTCCCTTGTGACGATGCGTCCGCTTGCAATCCATCAACGTCGAGCAGTAGAGTGTATATATGTGGTAATTTTGAAACTAAAACCTACGTGGTGGGATCGACCTCGAGTTGCGCCGAGTCAATGAGTCGCTGGATCTGGAACTGCCGCGCGACGATCGGCCGCACGTCGTCCACGTGCGCGAGGCTCTCGAGGAACGGCAGCAGCTTGAGGAGCTCGTCGTCGGCTTCGTCCGAGAACCAACTTTCGATCGGGATGCCATTGTCGACTTGATACCCAAACGCATGCGGCGAGTTGTCGATCAAAAGCACTTGACTCAAGTCGCGTCCGAGCACGTTCAAGTCCTTGAGGTAGTTGCCTTCAACGGGGAGGCAGTTGTCGCGGTACAGTCGGTGCCTACGTCCACAGTTTTTAAGACAAGTTTTCCACTTTCCAGCGCGATAGCTCACTTGATGTACTGTCCGTACGGGTCCAAGAGGTTGAGAAGCGTCTCGGCGTACACGCGTTGCGACGCTGTAAACACCACGACCTCAAACCACTCCGACACTTGAGCCAGAAACTCGTTCATGTACGGCCGCTTCTTGACCGACACCGTGTATTCGGTCCCATTGTAATCAATCTAGTCACGCTTATGAGACTCAATCCCTACTCAAAACAAAGAAAACGTACGGGAAACTTGAGATCCACGTCGGCCACATCATCGACCGAGCAATGCACGAGCGTCTCGTCGAGGTCGAGGACCTACACAGCGCATGAGATCCAAGACCATCGACGATAAAGGATCGTACGAGGCAGACTTTGGGCGACGATGCATCTTTTTTTGGTAGCGCGACGGGCCGGACAAAGTCCTGGACATCTTCGTACGCCGGCAGCGTCTTCATAAAGTAAAACCTACAGCCACAACGTTAGCATTGCGACATATATCGCGAGCAAGGGCGCACGGATTGAACTCGAGCTCGACCACTGTATCGTCGGTGGCTTCCTCGACGGGCGCTTCGTCGGCGGCCTTGACCTCGACGACCGCCGGCGGGCGTGGCGCAACGCTCTTCTTGTCGACCTTGAGCGTTGGCGAAAAGAGGTTGAGGTCGCTCGTCTCGGGCGCGCTGTCCGAGTCGTCATCGTCGTCCAAGTCGAGCTTGCGCGTGCACGTGTCGGCGTCGTCGGTGGGCTTGGCGGTCGTCGTCGATGTCGGTGCTACTGCATCGCGTCGGTCCATGGTCATATCGCTCGCTCGCGTGTACCTGGCGTGGCGACGCGCTGGCGCTTCAGCGGCGTCGAGGCAATCGGCGACGTCGGGTCGGCGTAGTACCCGGCGCGCTTCTTGGTCGGGCGGCTGGCGGCGGCGGCGGACGGCGACGTCGGCGTCTCGCCCTCGATCGCCATCGTTGCAGTGTGTGTGACCCTGTGAAACGCAGGCGCGACGCTTTTATTGAAAACGTTTATATTGCATACCAACAATAGGATATCGTTGCACAATACAATGCCCATACAAACACCAAGAGACTTCATTTCCATGGTTTGCATTCTATTGCATACATCCATCCCATGAAAAGACCAGAATAGAATAAAAAGCCACGAATTAGAAAAAAAGGCCAACCAAAAAGGCGCCACCGACATGATGGCGCTGTCAATAGATACTGGCGCCGGCCGGTCAACGCTGGAAATAGCAAGCCAGCGAGCAGCGAGAGCAGAGGGCTCGTAGCCACACGCTTTGGACCTTCTCAACGTCTACCACTCACAACTTACCACCCACGTGGTCGCATGGTCTCTCTCAACACCTTGACCGCGACGCATGCACGCGTACCGAACGTGCGCTTACGCGCTCCATCTTGCAGACGTTGGCCACAGCGGCAGCAACATACGGACATGTTTCGCGCGTACTAGTACGCATCACCGCAGTCGTTGCGTCATTGAAGCGCGTGTGATCGGCTTTGTCGTCGCTTTCTTCTGATCGGTAATGACGCTCATAGCCCTCGATGACGCCATGAGAGCCACCGGCTTGGTCATGTGCTGCGTCCACTCTCAAAGCCCCCGACAAGGACGAGAAGGAAAAGATGGCTTCAACTGTGGGAAGCGTATATACATATAGGAACGCGTTCCGCGTTATCTTATTACAAAGGCTTCGAGTGCTACGCCGGAATGCGTGGGAGTCGACACCAGCACTTGGTCGTTGGGAGTGAGCTGCGTAATACGGAGAGATCCATTCCGTGGTGGGACCCAACCGCCGAGGGTAGAAAGCGACGTAAAAACAAAATTTCACGAGGACGCTGGACAATCGCTTGGTGGAGACGGGTTCAACCCGCCACCGTCGCAGCTCCGGATCGTCTCTCACTTGCGGCTCTTCGCCGCAGACGACGCTCGACATGCGCTCGATGTAGCCGCACTTGACCGCTCTCTTGGCAAGTCAGCGCTGTACAAATGTAGTCCGTGCACAACGCGACGTTCAGCACCAAGATCCAAATCGTTGGTCCGGCCTTGACAGTGTTCTAGCTGGAAAGAAAATGGACGGCTTGAGTGACCGTACCAGCGGCTGGTGGCTGCCGGCAAGATCATGACACCGTTCCGGTCGGCGGCGAGCAAGTTGAATATGGAGGTAGCTTAGTGCATTGGATGTTGAAGCCAACGATAATATGTCATGTAAAACAACACGTAATTATGCCGGTGCCGTCGTTCGACGCAAGAGTAAGAACTTAGTGTGTGCATGTTGTCTGACATGTACTGGTGCGTCATGGTTATGGTGGATATGCGTTGATTGGCCAAGGTTTCTCAAGCGCACTTGAACTCGTGCTGTACCACACGCATGAAGAGGGCATAGAAGTGCAGCCGTCGTCTTCTTTGTGAGAGCAACACCCAGTTCAACTGGGAACGGGCGAGACTGCTTTGCCGAGCTTTGGTCGTCCGTGTCAGGAGAGCCTCGTCTATCTTCATGGCCGACGACAACCTCAACGGGACGGTTGGAAACGTGTCGCCTCTTGAAGCGAAGCAGCTTCGTACGCCCACTGTTGCAATCTCTCGGGCAGATCTTTCTTTATTGCCCAGCTTTGTCTAGCCCTTGGCAAAAATGACTGGCTATTCAACCGGTGCTACCGCAAGACCAGCAACAGGGATGGTCGCTTGGTCGTATCTCGGTGTCAAGGTTGTCTTGAGGTCGAGTCCTGCAATAGATATCGAACGACCGTTGGCAGCATCCTGGGGCTGCGCGTTGGTTTCGTGAGCCTGCTCTGTCCAACGGAAAGATCGTTTTTTCTTCTTTGGATTGGATAAAAGGCAAAGCTTTTCAAGCACGCACCGGTGATGATTGGTGCAATTTCGTACAAATCGACCAATGGCCTTTGTCCGAAAAGGCCATTGGCCAAAAGAATTTCGAGCCGTCGCGACGCTTGACGTGGGTGGCTCATTTCCAGATCCATCCTGCGGCCATGAAGCTCGTGTCCAAGGTTGCGCTCTTCCTCCTCGCCGCTGCCACGGCCGTCATGGCCATGGACCACGCCCAATGCGTCTCGTCGTGCCAGAGCCACACGGGCCGCCTGCACGAGAGCACGTGCGTGGGCTACCGCGACCGCCTGCCGCGCCCGGCGCTCTACAACAACTGCGTCGAGGCCTACCGCACGGGTACTGACGACAGATATGCCATCATGCCATGCGTAACCTGTGATGTAGGCTCGCGCGAGGCGTGCTCAGCATACTGCAACCAGGACCCGAACGCCGAGTCGCACCTCACGGCGACGGAAGCGATCACGTGCGACAAGTACCGCGCGGTCCGCCCCAAGGACAGCCAAGGCATCTGCTTGACGGCGTTTCGTGCGGCCATCAACTCAGCCAAAGTGTTTGTCGCCTCGAACGATGCCTTGTCGGGTTCGGGCTCGAGCTCGCAGCAAGCATCGGCGCCAGCGCCAGCACCCAAGGCCGAGAAGAAGCCGGAGCTCAAGATCAAGGACGTCAAGGTCGAAGGCAAGCCCAAGAGTATCTTGGAGGCGGCGCGCGAAGAGGCCCTCGCCGCGGCGCAGTCGAGCCGTGACTTGTAAAAACCTGTGGCAGCAACTACTCTTACTGCAAACATGAACCCTCGTCTGTCTCTACATGTCCATCGATTCAAGCTCTTGGACTACGGTGTCTCATGGGGTCGACACATGCCGGGCTTCTTCTTCGGCCCCACGACTTTGCTTTGCTTCCATAGCTCGGTCGAAGGCTGCGAGGTCACCGGCGCAAACGAAGCGACGAGCGGATTCGAAGCCAGATGCACCCATCGATCCGCCCGCGTCGCCGGCAGCTCCATTGTCGTCGCATACCGCATGAGCTCGAGGACCACGTCATAGCACTCGAGGGTTTGCGCGCTGCTTGCGTCCATGCACGCGGCGTCGCCCATGACAACGATGCGGCCACCTACACATCACATCGATCAATCCCCTTCGCATCCTAGTATCTGGTGCCATTTCAGACCGCCGTCTGGGATCTGGTAATGGCCTAGAATCGGCACCGACTCCCACGTGTCCGTGGTCATTGGACGGCGCATCGTTGCCAGCGTGACGTTGCGCAGCTGCGTGTAGTAGACGTGGCCGTCGACTGGAAACCGGACGAGCGACGCACTCGAGACAACGCCGACGCCATCGGTGCGTGGCAGCGACGACCATATGGACGTGCCGAACGCAATGCCAAACGGCGCTAAGAGCGCGTTTATGGCAGGGATATTGGCGCCACCGACGACCGGCCGCCAGTAGCTCAGCGTGTTGGCGTCCCATAGCTCGAGCGCCGCGATCGCCGCTTCATTGTACCAGCCGCCGACAAGGAAGAGCGACGTGTTGGCGTGCTCCAAGCTTGCGCGAAGAGAGTCGCGCTCGGCCTCGAACCACGGCTCTTCTGGGTCGACGACCAGGATCGCGCCGTAGGATGCCAGTGACAGACACGTATAGTCGACAGTTGCAATATCGACGGCGTAGCTACACGTAAGTAGCCCTAGCATCCACACGACAACGACGTGCGAGGACGCACCCTGCGTCGATGAGCGAAAGCCAGAGGTCGGCAAAGTTGGTGTGCACATGGTCGCCGTGGTTGTCGAACGGGTCAACGCCAAGCACATCGTCTTTTGGAATGTACGCAGACGGGTACTGGAGGTTCCGAAACTGGTCCCATAAGATCTATGCCCACATCATCATAGCATGTCGTGAGACGTCGGTCTGATGGTTGTACGCGCTGGTGCTTGGGCGGCGTCGGCTGCAATGGAATGCGCAGTGGTAGGTCGACGCTCCTTGCATCGGTGAGCGTCAGCCGTAGCCGGCCTTCGGCAAGAACCGGCGATGCGACGGGAATGGCCACCGACACGTGGACGCCGAACGCGCCGGTATACGGGTGCACGACACGATCGGTGCCCGATGTCGTAATCGTAAGCAGATCGCCGTTCAGTCCGGGGAGCCACACGGGTGGCGATGCAAACCGACTGGTGGCGGTCGTGGGATGGACCACCTACGTATTTCATACAGTAGAGCCACACTTTTTGTCAACAAAGGTAGTATACCGTAATGTTGAAGACGATTGGAATCGCGTCAAAGTAAAAGGCTTGGCGGCAATGGGGCCACATGTACGGACAGTCGGTGAGGTCGAGCGACGCGGGCAAGAGCGTCGGCCGCGGGTCCTCCTAGCCTCGGTCTGCTCGCGCCTGCACGGAGGTAGAGAGCGTGGCCACATCTCTTACCATAAGGCTCTCCATCCTGGCGAGCGCTTGCGTCAGGTGGAGTCGTCCCGCGCCTTGTTCGTAGACGTGGTGCCACTCATTGTGCAGACTCGAGTTGCCGCTACGACGTGGTGGGGCTACGGCCTTGTCAAAAAGTTGACACTATACCGCGGGTGCGACGGCAGGCGGGACGCCGACTGCAGCAAAAGCGACTTGAGAAAGCCGACGTGGCCGTAGCGCAGGCGCTGGGCGGGTGTCATGGCCGAGAGCAGAAGGGCGATCGCACCCGTCACAAGCGGCGCCGCCATGCTCGTGCCGTTCAGTGCCGTGCACGCGCCGTCGCGGGTCGGCCCCAAGACGTTCTCGGCCAGCGCGACGACGTCTGGCTTGACGCGGCCATACCTATGCCTCGCATGCGACTCTCTCTGCCAACACAATGCAAGTGTCGTAGCTACCCGACATCCGTCTCCCACGTGGTGAGGCCGCGGGACGAAAACGGTGCGAGCTAATGATTCATCATACAGACACGATCGCACTATGGACGATGTTGTACGTGCGTCAAGTCGGCGGTGAGCCCGCCGACGCCAATGACATCCACTTGGTCGGCCGGGTTGGTCACCACCCCGTAGTACGGCCCCGTGTTGCCGGCGGCCGACACCTACCGCACCGTTGACGACTCTCGTCGTACATGCTATCACGCGTCGTACGACAATCAGGCCGTGGGCCGAGGCTTCCGCGATCTTGTCCACGAACGGCGTGTCTTTAAAATCGGGGCCACCGATGCTAAAGTTGAGCACATCGAGCTCGAGGAAGAGGGCGTAGTTGATCGCATCGAGGAACCACGACGTGTAGACCGCGCCGTCGGTGCGAAAGACGCGAAATGCGTAGATGGCTGCGTCCGGCGCGAGGCCCGGGCAGCCGTCGACCGCGCCGCCAATGACGCCGGCCACAAACGTTCCGTGGCCGTTGCCATCCGTCAGCTACGCTTGGAAATGTCCATGCTATTTGGCTGCAATTCTTACGTCGTCTTCGTCGGTCCAGTTGGAGATGTCATGGACGTGGCGAAACAACGACCGCGAAGACGGTGCGAGCCCGGTATCAAAGATGCCGACCTTGACGCCTTGGCCTACGACGCGACGAGCGAGATGCAAGTCGGAGCATCGCGCGTGAGGTGCTACCTGTAATGTTGCGCGCCCAGAGCTCGGCGACGTGGTCGATGCCGTTGATGGCGCCTATGCGATGCTGTCAGCCGCCGATTTTAACGACCATCGTAACCGAGCGCTGTCGGCGGTGGCAGCGACGGAGGTTCAGCTGTTGCATCGGCCATTTCCGATTGCGCTGCGAGCGACAGGCGCGTGTTGCGGCTCAGCGACTTGAAGCCATGGGCGTGCAATCGCAACGACGCCAGCGCGTCGGCGCGCGACGGGCCATAGCGGCGCGGATCCAGCGACATACCGCGCGGTGCCACAGGGATCGGAGCTGCCATAGCACAAAGTCGGTCGGGTAGGCGGGACGG